AGTCAAGATCAAAGCCCCGGACTCCACCATGAGACAGCTGGGATTCGAGATGACTTCCTCCACATTTCATGAAGTGGTCGCGTCACTGCTGCCCAAGAGTCTGACAGCCGCCGGCCCAAGCGTTGCAATCGCATAGTACTGACGGCGCAACGAAGACGGGATGGCAGTGAAGTACCAGACCGAATTGAGCAAGACCGGGCCAGACGCCATCATAGCTAAGTGATTAGTACATGGCACATGCTCTCAGTTTTCTCGGCGTGCATCAGTAGGAGGGGTGCTACATGTCAGGGGTCATGTTGGTATCGTGTAAAGAGTGAAAGATGCCGTAGACCGATGTAACGCAGCAGTTGTTCGTGACCGGGCGGCCCCGAAGAATAGGTGCGCAGACTTTCCAGCAGATGCGCACGCACTGTTGAGTGTAGGATTTTTCTTGCGCGGCCAATCAACACCAAGCCTGCGCGAATTAATGAAAGGCTCAGCGCTAAGCCCTGCAGCTGCAGGCAGACGAAGCTAAAGCGCTTCTAGAAGCTCGTGCTGGCATCATGTAGCGTTTCCGTTACTGACAGAATCAAGGTCCATGGAGGTGGTGATTGATGTCATTCAATGCCTATGCGCCATCATGGCGCTGCATGTCAGTGTTCCTTCGTTTGCTTTCACGTGTTACCATTGATTGGGTAGCCGATTCTCACGTGTGTAGTCCATTGGCTATCGCTTCGTCACATGCGCGTCCTTCTAGTCTAAAGGGCGGCTGTGACAGTGCGCATGGAAGACGCATGGATGGCTGATCTCGAGTTGCAGCATGATCGACGCCCGGATGCATGTATGTGGGGGCGTCTCTCATACCTTAACAGCCTCTTGAACCCACTACGGCCAATTGACCCACATCTAGTAAACACGAGGCTATGATGAACACAGATCCAAAGCGGAGTGGCAGCTTCGACATGTCGCCACAAAAGCAAACATCCCGCACGGGTAGCTAGGGGATTGACGTGGGATGAACTGGGCGATTTAATGCACTTCGCGAAGTGTTCGCCGATCATCCTCATAGACCCCATGCCGTTGATGCCGATGGTTTCGTCGCAGCTTACTATCGGAGACAGCCAGGTTCCGATAATAGGCATCATGGCAGCCGCTACACAGTATTTGCAGAACAAGGAAGAAGCAAATAGACAGCCGCGCAGGAGTCGCCTTGTGAGGTGGGCATCTGACTGGTGCGCCACACCAAATCATGCCAATTCAGTGATCACCATGGTGGAATAGTAGTCGATAGCAACGGGGATGAGAGTGGTCAATGGCGGTTGACAGCAGATGAATGAGTGACGTAACAGAGGAATTAAAGACTAGATTATATGGCGTATTAAAAGCGAGCGGTCTGAGGGCGCGATTGTAATAACAGTCGACCATTGGGGATTCCAACGTCGACGAGAATACGCGCGCTATTTTTGTATGGTGCTGTGTAAAGGATATTCATCAGCGCCCGTCGCGTGTTGACGCGTTGAAGTCTTCCCAGTCTTCCCTAGCTTTTTCTCAGTGACAAAGACGCGCAACACGATGAGATACCTGACAATCAAGAAGATAATAATCGCGGCGACCAGAATACCCACTATGTACGCTCCGACTAGCCCAGAAGAATTCTTCTGAAGGTCAAGGAAGGGGTATACATAAAAGCCTTGGGTCGCATGCGTGAGGTAGGCCAGGCCAAGATAAAGAGCCAACAGGAGGATAATTGGAATCAGGTCGAGCCAGGGCAGTCGCTCAGTTCGGGGGATAACTATCTCGAAAAGGGCGTACGCCGAGTTGAGAGCATGCTGTGACGTGTTTGACCAGAGCGCGAAGGTGGTGGGGAATTGACCCGCAAGAAGTGTCCAGTAAACAACTGTTGTGTATTAGTTCAGCGTGCTCAGACAATAAATGCTGCCAGCTCCCCAAAAATGATGTTGCAGGGAACACGAGATTGCCTCGAGGTACTCCGGCGCGACTTTGGCAAAACGTTTTATGTAAGTTGACTTACTGGTCACTATCCACGGATAGACTACAATGGTAGAGTAAAACATGCTGTGCGCCACCTGTAGCGCTTTGGGCCATCGTGCCAAAAACGAAGTTCCAGTAAACCAGTAACTGCCGGTATGCACAGCGGCAAAGGCATAGTAAAAGGCGAGACCCCAATACGTCAGAACCGTGAAGAAAGAGAAGGATTGCTGCGAAGCGTCGGACCTGCCGTGGGTACCATTCCAGCCAAAGATGAAAAAGAGCGTGGTAAATGCGTAAATGGCCAATAGCGCGCGAATAGCGAAGAGGGCGGCTGGTGGGAGAATCCACGAGGTTACAAACCGCGTGGGATCGAAAAGGCCGGCGTACGGTGCCGTTATTCGTTGACCAATAGCCATGCTGGGGTTGTTGATTGGGATCCTTGTCGAGTGCCACCAGACTGGTTGTCGTGTCCTCGGAACGTTTCCGACGCGGTGGAATCTGGGTCGTGGGTAGTGCGCGATAGATGACGCGAGATAATTCGCGATGGAGATGATGCGACGTGGTGTTGTGAGACGGCTGCAAAACTCGTTCACCCCCAATTTCCGAGGCTGAAGCTGAAAAGGGCAGTCACCGAGCTGAGGGAAGCGCGCTAGCAATCGGCGCTATGTCACGTTCGGACTAGCACCGGTCGCCGAAAGAACTGACAGGATCGGCCGCGTCTTCGTAACATTACCGCTCTATCCCGGTCTACCATCACGTCTGTGGGCCCGTCCGCTTCAGACTCCCACGCTTGTAACCCCGGCAGCAGAGGCGAGGCACACTCCCACTTACACCCTTACGCTCCCTACGCAGGGCGGCCAGGATGAGGCCTGCAGCGCGCTTGGGCACAGGTGGCTTGCTCGTCCCTCTGCCACTGCCTTCTTCTTTAAGACTACGGGATGCCATCTGTTTGGAATGATACTACTCAGGATGATCACCCAACTGAAAAGCCATCTTCCCAACCCGTTCAGTATCCATCACTATTCGCCCGCTTTGCTTCGTATCAAACATCACCATGAGTGACAACAGCAGAATATCTGTACGTCTGCATCTATCACCTCCTAAGCACTCCACTGACGGCTCATAACAGAAGGCACAGAATCTTGCTAGGATCAGGGACAACCAGCGTGAGTGGTTTCCTTGCACGACGACTCATCGTCAGCTGTCTGCCGTCCACCCATGAAGAGTGGCGATAGCTTGCAGCCTGCAAACTATCTAGACGTCTCTGTAGAAGCATTCGATTTACCGAGGATGTTCGCTAACGGTACTCGCTTCAGGCCGATCACGCGCCCGCCGGAAGGAGTATCTGCATGAGCTCGAGGCCAAACTGCGCAGCTATGAACAGATAGGCATCGAGGCCTCTTCGGAAATCCAGTATGCTGCCAGGAAAGTACTAGAAGAGAACCGAAAACTCAGGTCGCTTCTTCATGGGAGAGGAGTCTCTGAAGCGGAGATTGTCGCTGCCCTTGAATCGACGTCCGATCGACACTACAAGCACACCTCTGCCGCCACCAGACTGCAGGCCATGCTTGAGTCAAGGGTCAACACCAACACAGCCTCTTCGACCAGTTCGCCTATACCTTCATATACCAGAGCCGATTCTTTATCTCAACACGTCTCATCAGTGCCGCATGCTACTATCCCATCTGCACGGCCGACAGCACTCAGTTGCAACGATTCGCCCAGTCCAAGATCCGTGGTATCAAGTATGGGCACACCACCACCAGCCTCATATCCAGCGATGCATTATACTACTCCAATGACTCCATCAGCTGTTCAGATCAAGTCAGAGCATGTTCAGTACGACTACCCTTACGAGCAGACATATAGTAGCGCTTGGGCCTACTCAAGCGACTGCAACTACACTGCAGAACCGACGTCATATTACAACAACACCTCGTCTTGTGTTGACGCTGCCAACATCATCCGCACAATGCGATCTGGTGTTGGCCCTGAGCTGGAAGTCGATCTCGGATGCCACACATCAGACCGTCATTGTTATGTCGACAATGCTACAGTATTCAACATGATGGATCGATATTCTCAAAATCATGCGACTATATAAGACAAGACGGTGGTCAGTCTGCGGATACAAGTGGGAGGTGCCCCGTCATCATCAACCTGGCCTATAGCGAGCGGAGCTATCGGAGACCAGTGGCGGCGCTTGTTGTGTACGACCCTACGGTGGCCAAGTCCATGTTGGCGGCTGGATAGGCACCTGTTGTACTCATCAATAGCCTCTTCAGTACTATGTTGAGTCGAGACAATCTCTAGGAGGGTCTAAACAATGCATTGTGGCGAGGAAACGTTTCGCAGACCCCTATCGAGACCCTACCACCGATACGTGTCGGTCCTCTTCACTGCTTCGCCCGCCATTACGAACTCCATGAAAGAAATCAACCGCTAGCATGAAAGCGAAGCCGAAACTTGAACTCTTTTCTTTGTCGACAGCCGTCGCATGACCTCCCGCCTTGCTCAGTCTATGTTCGTATGATACACTTTGGACACTCCAGTCGACGCCAGCACGCCAGCACCAAGCCTAGAGGACTTGGAGATGATCAACTTAAGTTTGTAAATAACGTGTACAAATTACTCTTGTAGCCTCTATCGGCGAATATGATGATCTCATCATCATCGATTCCCTCCACATTCGGCACTGATGAAACTAGTCTCATATCTTTTATTCCTCCAGATAGGCCGTGTGTACCCTGTCGTCTTCTCATGTTGGCACGGTTTTCTCTAATTACTGTCCTGCTGGTGGAAGACGGCTAGGTATCTCCCTTTGTTCAGATAACTAACACAGCATGGGTGATGTTGGCAAACCCGGCATGTTCTTCTTGTCCTCTGTAGACAAAGGGCCATTCTTCAAAGAACACATACCCAGCATATATCCGACGCGACATCTATATGGGTCAAAGTTCCAATCTCATGTCCATGAAATCTATTCTTGTCTGACACTTCACATCCATTGGTATCGAGGTTCTATCAAGATGTCTCCAAAACGGAAGAAGACAGGACATGGTGACGACCCACCCAGGGCGAAGAAGACCAGATCAGAGGATACTCCTGATGACGATACAACCAAGACCGATGTCAGCTGGTTCATACCAAAAGAAAAGGGAAAGAACATCTACAAAGAGAAATGCGCAGCCGAGTATGCCCAAATCCTCTATGAGAAAGCGCGAGAAGAGATAAGTCCGCAACAAGCACCTTTGTTAGATCCGCAATTCCGGACGCCAGTATTCCAAAAGCAAGGCAAAGATCTGCGAGCGGGAGACAAGTACAGGCCCAGCGCGTCTTTGCGCAACCTGTTCAACGATATCAAGAGTAGAAGTATTGATAAGGAAGAGGGCCATAGCATCACTCATTTCCAGCAGCAGTTTGGCGATGACGCAAACATTGCAGTAGTGCTCTCAAGAGCGGAGGACAACGCTACTTTTGTTCTGAATGAAGACCAACGTTTGGAAGTGTAAGTGCAGATACGTGGCTCGTTGTCGCCAAGCTGATTGGATTTAGGACTGTGAACGATGTGACTGCACATGTGGATTTTATCCGACGGAACTCATCAGAGGATGGCAGCCCAGCCGGTTACTTCATTCAACTCCCTCTCAATACGTCAGTCACAGTAAACGGAACTACATACACCAACAGTGACGACTCATCGTCCATGCCTTTTTACATTGGGCCGCTCGAAGGGTACGCAATCATTGAACTACTGTCGCAACCAGCGTTCTTCTTCAGAACTGCAGCAAGCTTGAAATACACTTCGTCACACAGGGCGGTACCTCAAGAAGAGCTCGATCGTCGCGATGGAAATGGGGATATTGCTTTGGGAAATACGAGGGTGCAATGGAGGCCTATTGGAGCTTCACTATCGCCAGCGGGATCGGCAAATCCGAGCGTCCCAGAAGAGGTAGAACAAGAGTCAGAGGATGACTTCATCGACACGTTTACAGATGGAGGAGAGCCAATCAAAGATATTGGTGCGTATATGCGAACTCAGCTGTTGTCTCATCAACAAAGCCGATATCGCGAGCTCATTCCCAGAGTTCTTGCTTCGGTGAACTATCGACAGAAAGAAGCTACCGGATTCAGTTGCCAGCATGAAGGACAGACTTTCAGACCCGGAAGGACGCTGTTGCAGCCGATCGAGGTGGAAGGGAACTATCTGTTGCTCGCTGCTCAAATCCATGCCGACAAGCACATCACACTCGAAGTCCTAGATCCTATGACGTGGCGATCAAGGCTGTCTAGTCGAAAAGCTATCGATGAACACATCAGGGAGACTTTGCGAAGCTCCACATGGTGGCGTCATGTATTTGACTCATTAGAACAATTGGAAGAGAACCTGCCCGAGGCCATAATGTGGGTACCGGCTGCCCAAGTCACGACAGGCGATGGAAGCTTCACGTACACCGTCTTGAACGCATGGGCGCTGGCGATGGGCCTCGCACCAAACCCGTCGTTCACATCCAGCGCTCATGGTCACGAATCGTTCTTCATCCGAGCCCAACAAATCTTCGACCTGGCCCTTCAAGACAAGCTGAACTGGAGGGTGTTACTCGCCTTTTTCCGCTGCACCGAATTTGTTAAGCCCAGCGAGGGCAGCGAGGATGATGAAGAGGCAAATCTCCCGCATCTATCAAGGCGATTTGATCTTTGTGACCGCTCCTTCCAGAAGCTAATCGCTCGTCAAACGGCTGCAGACGCCGCCGCCGAAGGCAAGAAGATTGATATGGAGCTGGTTACTCTGGGACTAGAACATGGGATGCGCCATGATCAAGCCTTCGCTGCCGATTCACTAAGCGAGCTTGAACGGACCAACCTCACTTCCATCGTCCGTGATGGCCAATGGAACTTCGCTGATACAGAAGAGAAGCTGAAAAAGCGTCTGGATGAACGCAAGGAGCAAAAAATGTCGGATATGTCGTTGACAAAAACAACGCCACCACCACCACCGCCGCCTCATAAATCGACTCCAGATACCGAGGAGATTACGGTCGACTTTGATCCTTGTAAGCATCTTCACGAGCATATTAAATTGCTCGAAGAGCAGGGGAAGATTGAACCAAAAGTCGGAAGTGAAATCGACGAAGCATTGCCATCCAGGTGGAGTCAAGCTGTCTTTGGATACATCGAGCCCGTTGTACGAGCTATCAACGATTTGCTCTCGCCTGAGCGGCCTCAGCGGGGCTTCACAGTGGCAGACCTGAACGGTAGTAGCAGATACGCAGATGATTCTGGCGTCTTGGACACGGTGGTTATGATGGTCTGCCAACTGGAAGAACACGTCATACTAGTAGTCTTGCAGCATGAGGACACATCCAAAGAAGCTCCTGATGTATCACGCGTCATGGACTCCGCACCATGGACTGCCACGGCGGTGGAGCGCGTCCGGATCCACGACCTACTGGTTGAAGCGGGGATGTTAGCAGTTGACCCTACTGCAGACAAAGTGAGTAGTTTCGTCGGGCCAGTACTAAAATGGATGCCGGGTCCTCAGCAAGCAAGAGTAGAGGAAGCTGGGTATTTTGCAATCATGAGTGCATGGGCTGTACTACTTGGTCTACCCATCAATCCCGAATTCCGCATAGGCGCAGATTTCTACGACAGCGCACTTCCTCTGCTCCAGGCAGTGATGAAAGCACATGCAGACTGGAAGCTGATCTGGGCCTTCTTGCGTTGCGTGGGTTATACTCAGTCCGAGCAGCCGCCTCCGATACAGCGTCGATTCAAAGCGACAAGGCCTGCTCGTGGCCCTCGTATCACCAGAGGCAACAGAAAGACAAAGCGCTCGATTGAGACTCAGGCTTGCCGTGACATCAACTATCCGCATTTTCCAGTGAACACTGGTGTAGCGCATACTGAAGCTTTCCCGTGGGATAACTACGACAAGCCGGATAGGTCAACGCGTATACCCGAGTTGATCACGTCTGGAATGTACAGCAAGGTCCTGTCAATTGCTCCCGCACCCTCAGGTGGCTCCAAGGGCGATTATCCCAAACCGTCAAACAATGGCGATAAACCACTGGGCGACCCCGCTCGTCCTCAAAACCCCGGAGAAGGTACCAAATCTGTATCGGAAAAGACCAAAGAGACTTCCGGTAACCCCAAAGAAAAGTCAGCGTTGCCAGAAAACTTTGACCCGTGCGAATACTTCAACCAACAGCGAAACGCGCTTCTGAGTGATCCGGCCGTAGCAGCAGCAGTAGAAAGTCTTCGAAGTCGTGCAACCACCACATTCGGACTGTGGCTCAAGGATGAAGAGGTGTCCTTGGCCATCGCAGCCGTGACGCTCGGCATAACGAATGCTCAGGACCTAGAGGGCGGGTTCGGTTGTTTGGACCAGACTGCAGTTCAATACTGTCGGCACGAGAATCCTATGTTGATGCAGCCTACGATTCGACCGGGACGGCCGTTGATAGTACCGGTGAATATTGACAACCATATCATCTTGGTGGTTATTCAGTTTGACGGCTCTAAGAAGGAGCCTACACCTACGATCTCCATCCTAGATTCTAAATCTCACAACTATAGCTTCGAACGACGTGCTCATATTTTCGACACAGCTCGAAACATCTTTATCGCCTCGCGCTGGGGCCGGTTTCCCAATCTTCCGGACGAAGGTGACTTACGCCAATACACCCGGGAGGCATTGCACGCTGAGTGGATACCCGTAGCCCCACAACCTACGGATAATGAGTGTGGTTACTATACCATATTGAATGCGTGGACGCTGGCTTTGGGACTTCAACCCAACATCAATTTCTTCCCAAGTTGGACAGCACAATTCTTCCAAGACCTCATTGATGTGATCCACATCGCTCGTGTTGGACGAGCAGACTGGAGACTGATATATGCGTTTCTCAGATGTAAAGAGTTCGTCGACAATGCAGCAGCCGTGCCCGAGGATCGCCATTTTGAACGGACCGAGAATTTGCCGCGCGATGAAGCACTAGAATCGGTATTGGATCGTCTGGAAGAGTCAGAGCGCCGCGAATGGGAAGAAAGGGATCCAGATTTCCCCAAACTAGCTAAGGCAAACAGAACACATGTTGTCCCAGGGAAGCGACACGACAAGGTATGGCCATCAGACGACTGGACGGAAGAGGCAAGGAAGGAGTACGTGAAGGATCTCGAACGCTGGGGAAAACTTGTTCTTGATGCGGACAGCAAAGGACTTGAAGAGCAGTGGCAACAACACTTTTTGATGCATGGCGTGGAATTTGAGAACCAGCTGGAACACATACATGGCAAACTAAAGAACCGGACTTTGGATATCACCAAGGACATACTTCCTCACTACAGGGAATTCCTCAACAAATTACATCCACCGGGTCTGAATGTGCAGATCGATCACTTTCCCTGTGCCTGGGTATCAGACGCTATAAACCTTTACGATTGTATCCTGAACTACGAACCGTTGGCACAAAGCTTCTCTAACGGGATGCGAGAGGAGATCAATAGACAAGAATGTCAACCGTGGGAAATAAATATGGCTATCGCTGCCGTGATCGAGGCAATCGATGACAAGCAGCGAGAGCTTCACAGGATGAACAGCGCTGACGGTCAGCCATTTGCTGGGGGGTTTTCGATGGCCCCAAATGACGCGTTAAGAGAGGCGCTACTTAAACCACTGCCAGCAGATCATCCTGTGGCATCGAGACCTAGGAGATGCTGGTTTATGCCTCTGAATGTGAGCGGACCACTCCTAGAACGGGCCAACGCATGGCAGGAGACGAAAGGCCATAAAGTGAAGCGCCTGTCAACAGGCGGAGGTCATACATTGCTCATGGTACTGCAAGAGCGAGATGACCAACCGAATACAAATCATCTGAGCGTCGATACTTATACCCTTGATAGTCATCCGGCCATCTTGGAGAACGCCCACGAGTTCTTGGGCCGTTCCGTTCTGAGAGCAGCTGGACGTCTTGGTTGGTCCTCGCATCGTAATACCGCGCAAGTTGCAGGCTTCAATCATAGATATCCTGTACCAAAGCAGCAGAAGGGCGGATTCCAATGTGGCTACCACGTTTTCGTAAACGCCTGGATACTCGCAATGGGTCTCACACCAGATACCAAAAGGGGCCCATACAACGAGAAGATCTATTTTGAGGCATGGCTTTTCGCTAGGGCTGCAATAGCGGGATTACTCGACTGGAAGGCATTGGTAGCTTGGTTCTTCTGCCGGAAGTTGACAGTGGAGAGGACTTATGAAGCTGTACCCGCAAACAGGCGCTATGAAGGTACTGTCCCCCAGGTGCCGGATCGGCCTGATGATGTACCGGAAGCACAAGGAGAGGGCGAATTGCGAGACCATGTGCAACAACGGTACGATGCGGATGACCGACCTCTAGCGCTGTTATCGGTTGAAGATGCCCCTTACGATCGGTCTAACAATATTGTATGGCCCCCTTCTAAAGGCAAGGAACAGGAGGACCAAGGAAAGAGCCTGGACAGAAGCTATGACGACGCGGATCTAGAGTTCTTCGAAAACCAGGCAGGTGTAAAGCGCAAGTCGCGTGAAGAGATTGACGATGGCCTCGGTCGCTTTGATAGTTCGCACGCGACTGTTGACAGTCGTGTGAGAGATACGGTTCATTCGTCCTTTTCCAGGAAAAGGCAGCGCCTAAGCGACAGCCTGTCTTTCCTTGACGGGTATTAGCTGCCCCTTGCTCTTGTATTTGTACCGTAGACGGACTGCGCTGGCGTGGTTATCGTAGAAGGGTCATCGTTGTATTTGTATTGAGGAGAGTTCGTTAATGTATCAGCAATGCGCCGCCTTCAATGATATGTAAAGTCGTTCTTCAGTGTAGCCTGTTATGTTGTGCTGTGGCATGCAGACGCGACCGCGAGTGACGACCCTAAGCTCCGACAACCGATGACGTAGCCCCAAAACCTTCACGCGTCGCGACCCACGAACCCCAAACCTCCATCATCCCGACCTACCGCTCCCAACACAACTCCCGCACCCGCCAAGATGCTAAGACCGACCCTCCTCTCCGCTATCCGACTCAATGCCTTCCCAAGTACCTCCAAACGCGCCTTCTCCCTCCTAAATCCCACGTCGCGCTCGCACACGAACCGCATCTTCGACCCCATCCGCCAACCCAACGACCTGCACACACTCACGCTCCTCAACGCCTCCGACAACCGCTCTCTAATAACTTTCTGGACCGCGACCTGGTGTCAAACTTGCCAAGCCATCAAGCCGCTCATCCGCCAGCTCATCGAAGAAGAAAAAATTGGCGAACGGGAAGGCGGACTGGGCTTTGTGGAAGTGTTGATGGACAGCACGTTGATTGAGGATTTGCCTATAAAATACCGCATCAGTAGTATGCCGACGCTATTGGCGTTTTCAAGACAGGAGGCGCAGTTTGATACGAGGTTGACGCGACCCGAGGAGATGCGGAATAAGGACTTTTTGAGGGAGTGGTTGGTTAGGGAGGCGCAGAGGGGAGGGAGGATGGGCGGTGGTGGGGGCAGTATGTTCGGTTAGTTTTCCGCGTCCTTGTGTTGTGCTTGGATGGAGTACTGGGCCTGACGGTGTTAAAGGTGCGAAGGAAAATGGCGAGCAGGGCAAAGCGGGTGAGGACAAGTGACACGGGATAGCCAAACATGGGGCGGAGGTATGCTGTAGGCGCAACAAGCTAGCAGTGCGGTCAGGAGCTGTGGAGTAGCGAATGATCTGCGTTCGTGTGACACTGTGAGTGAAGTAAAGCTCGGTCGAGCAAACACTGTTATTCCACTCCCAAATGCGGGAGTGATTCCATTACCCTGTTTTCTTCTTTTACCTTTCTCACGAAACATTCGCTTCCTTCGTCCACGAATAGATCCCTACCATGGCAAAATTGACGATAGATCAAGACTACGAGGCCGCCGTCGTGAAGGGTACTAGGCTACTCCAGATACTGGCCGCGAAAGACAAGACACAAGTCCAAAGCGCATACGAGGAGGTACAAGAACTAGCCCAACATGGCTACCTTCTGAAGCCTCAAGACAAGTTCTTTGAAATCGAGTGTATCGCCGATGCGCTCTGCGATCTAGGTGTCAGCGACAAAATGGTGTATGATGGCGGAGAGAACATCAGAACACATCATGTGCATGACCGCGACGGAGAAGAAGCGACAGAAGACGATACGGTACGTTTCGCGGTAGCTTTGAAGTAAGCACGTTCTAATGAGCCACCAGACAACACGCGGCTACTTCTCCCAAGTCAGCAACCCATTTTCTGGTGTCTTGATCGCAGACAGTAATCTTAGTCCTGCACATGCAGCGAAGTTCGATGACGAATGGGAAGAAGAAGCTATAGAACTACCGTCACTGCGACACTGGTCAGACCTAGCGTTCCTACAGTACCTTTCTTCTTTCCCCGAACCACCCGTACGGCCGATTCCGCTCAATTACGTCTTCCGCGTTCAGATTCAGAACGCCGCGACTTCACTGGTTCTCAATAAGATTATTAGCAAGCATGCTACGTTCACCTATGAGATGTGGCCTGGTATCACGTTTGGAATGGACTCTGAAGAAGGGAAGGCGATCTTAGGAACGCCGAATGGTTGTGGTGTCGCTTGGATGCTTATTCAACATAAGAAGGCGTTTGGAGAGAAGAATATTGAGAAGGTGACTTTGTTTCACGCGGCAAAGAAGGATGATTTGTTTAGATGGCCGACTTTGCTGTTTTGGATTGTGTAGAGTGGGGGTCAGGTGAGAAGATTGTATCTGCATTCACTTTACATTGAGCGAATTAGACAAAGGGCGGAACAGTTTAGGCTACATGTCAGCTGCTTCGCGTCATACCGTTTGTTGACGATGCGCGTGACGCTCAACGTCTCACACTCAAGGAATTCATAAATGCATCTGGATAGCAACATACTTAGTACTACCGCGACCCGCCTGCGACACTTTTATAACTAGCATCTTCTCCGATGACAACCTCAGTCAGCCCGGCAACGCATTACGAGGCGGCTTACAAGAAAGGTCTATTGCTGTTTCAGATGCTGGAAGCTAGCTTTGGTGAGCTCGGTAATTTACTCAAAAACACAGATACGCCAACTGAAAGCGAATACCTCAACTACGAAGATCTCTTGGAGAACAATTGGGTTGAGCGGTCCTCCGGGGACGATTCCAAAATTCTGGCGCGACTGTTGGAGGACCTTGGAATAAATACTTCAAGTAATATCCCTGTTTCACATGAACACCACGGCGTTGCACCAATCGAAGAATCGCTACAAGAAGGACTTGAGATGCAGATACGCTTCGACTCAGTCATCAACACTTCCGGTGGTATGATTGCAGCCATGAACACGTACAGTCCTATGCATGATTGGAGAAAAGCGAAAGCGGATGCCGAGAACGCTCTACTAAAACAAGCCGGCCACAAGTCTACGGAGAAAAATAACGTCGGCGATGACGTCCCTAGCCTGAAGTACTGGTCAGATGTCGCATACCTGCAATGGGCCTGCCGTAACACGGACTCATCCGACCTACGTTATGTGATGCGAATGAGCATCACAAACGAAAAGACAAAAGCAGTCATCCAGCATATCAAACAACAAGCCCATCCCAAAGCTTCAGGCTCATACTCATTCGACGTTGACGACCGGGATCAGGTAGCCGCTTTTCTAGGGACACCGAATGGAGCCGGAGTCGCTTGGTTGCTCATACAGCATAAGCAGCAATTGGGCCACAAGACAGTTTACAAGGTTACTGTGGACTGCCGCGAAATCTGGCATAAAAGCAAGACGATAATTCCAAGCTTGGTGTTCCATTTTCGTGACGCGGTTACTCCGAAGCCAGGCAGCGAGGAAGGTGATTGAAGGAAGTCGCTATGAGGGTAGAATAAGCGCTGCTCTAGCAATTTGTCAGGCCACGCGGACAATGAGATGGCAGACAGTAGAACACTCATGAAACTAGCCCGTGCTTGATCCACTGGAGATTCGTGGAAGGTAGAAGACATTGTTTCACCAGCCTCATATATGAAGAACACTCGTTTCCTCTCTTTCCCAATAACATTTTACAGTAAGCCATGCCCGCGACAATGAATTCACAAATCAGTAATCTGGACTACAACACTGCCGTGGAGAAAGGCAAGAAGATGCTCAAAATAATGCATGGCGGATGTGTTGTCACGCAAAGCCCATACTTCACGCCCGGGGAAGTAGGAGCAATGGGATATAAGAGAACAACAAGGCCTCGATCTGTCTCTGGCCTGTCAAAAAAGCTGGACAGTCTCGGTATTCAAGTTTCTAACTCTCACTTCATCAATGTTACAGACGATTACACGAAAGACGTTATCACTGGCGAAACACTTGCAGGCGCAAGCGAAGTGAGATTCATGTCCGATATCAACGTTGAAGCTGGAATTCTCGTGGTGAACTACAGCTACAGCCCGACATACAAGGCCAAGGAGTTGAAATCGCTGGCGGCCGCTCTGTTACCCTCGTTGAAGCACTGGTCCGATATAGCCTTCCACCAATGGGCCCACTCTCAACACCCAGAGGAAGAAGTACGTGATCTCAAGTTCATCATGAGAGAAAACATCTCGAACGAAGATACTTTAGCTATCATTAATGATATTCTCGACGCACCACCTCGCCAGTCACAGGCTTATACGCGGTCGGGACTATACCTAGACATGAACAGTGACCATGCTATCGCTCTGCTGGGCACAGCACACGGTGCAGGTGTAGCTTGGTTACTTGCTCAGCATCGAGACCAACTTGGCCGTAAGATAATTGCTGGGATAAGGATATTCTACAGCGACGAGCCGCCAGAGGGCGACAGAGCCCTCAACTTGCTTTTCTACCTTCGTGACGCCAGTGCGAGTAAGAAATCTATCGAGAAGTTGTGAGGAACTGTGTTGAGCAAAGGATGCGGCGGACGATCCTTTGGGTAGGCGCAGGCGTACAGCGGCGGCAGTTCGTAGTAATGACATTCTTGCCGAATCGGATCAAAACTGAGCAGTCCCTGATGGTGGTTGAGATTGTTATCGACGTAGAGGCCTAGTATGCATGGAAGATTGGCGTTCCCGGTAGCGATGATGGATGGGCAGGCAGTCGCGAGGCTTGGTGGCTGGGACTGGGAGCCGGGGGTGGCCGGAAGCGAGACGCACCCCGCAATGACCTGCGCGTCTCGCGCCTTCATCACGATCTTCACATCTCTTTTCTCCCACGGTTTGCTTCTTCTTGTGATTTTTTCTGATGAGTTCAATGTTTGACCTTCTGATCTTCCCCAGCAGGTCGCTATATGCAGCCGTTGAACGACAACAAGCGAAATGCACGCGTCTTTAGCGCCAGCTGCAGTATTTACTCAATAGCAACCGCATACACGGGATGGCCATGACGCTCTTATGCTTTTTAGTTGCGGAGATGGCTCCTAAGCCTCGGCTTCGCGCACTAAGAAGTGATTTTGTTTGGATAGAAACCTTACAGCGCGATGCACGCCAAGCTGGACGTGGCTTGCGACGAAAGTGTTGACCTCGGTTTCGCGTCAATGAAAAAAACGAGGCTTGTATAAAGAGATCAAGATACTGCTTGACGCCAGTGCACGGGTAGTAGTACCACAGTGCCGCCGACATGTTCTCGTCTTCTATATTGGGCTCCGTTGGTCTTCTGCTCTTGTCCAGCGGCGCGACGACAACCTGGGCAGACTATGCGTCCGGACACGATGTACCAACCGCAACTGTCGACGCGGGTGTCATAGTTGGAAAGTCTACCTCACTTCCCCATGCACTTGGACCAGTGCATCAGTTTCTAGGTGTGCCCTTTGCATCACCACCCGAGAGATTCTCTCCACCGCGAGCTGCAGAGCCCTTCCAAGAGCCAGTCAATACGACCGAGTTCAAACCAGCATGTATCCAACAATTTCGATGTACGCAAACCATAAAAGCTGTTTGATATGAGCTAAATGGAGTAGATCCGTTGTCAAGTTCACAATTCACGCAGGCTGTCTTCAATAACCCGCCACCTGAAGAGTCGGAGGATTGCTTATACCTCAATGTCTATGCACCATCGACTCCTGCGGGCGGCAACGGCAGGGCTGTAATGTTCTGGATTTACGGTGGCTCACTGCAGTTCGGTAACGCTGGTCAAGAGCAATATGACGGGAGCAGTTTTGCAGCATACGAAGATGTTGTCGTTGTGACGACGAACTACAGAACGAACGGTAGGTGACTATCGACACTCCAAATCACATGTTTCACACCTAACAGCTCGCAGTATTTGGCTTCCCTGCTTCAGCAGAGCTGCCTTTAGCAGAACGCAATCTCGGCTTCCTTGATCAACGTTTTGCCCTCGAGTGGGTACAGCACAACATCCACGCCTTCGGCGGCGATGCATCCAAAGTCACCATCTTCGGTGAGAGCGCGGGTGCTTTCTCTATCGATGCGCTCTTGACCAGCTTCCCCAAGGACAGTTCACCACCATTTCGGGCCGCCATCCTACAAAGTGGACAGTACAGCTATCGCGCAGCTCCTGCAACATCAAGCATACCCGCTTGGAACAACCTCACAGCGACCCTCGGGTGCCCGGGGACACATGAGAGCAACTTGACATGTGTAAGAGCAGCGAACGCAACGACTGTGCAGACCATCATCAACCAAAACTCGCTCGTATTCAATCCAGTTGCTGATAACGCCACATTGGTATCGAACCCAGCGGCACAACGCCTAAGCGGCGATATCGCGCATATACCAGTACTAGGAGGTACAAACTCCCAAGAAGGCCGCGTCTTCTCAGTCGGCCAAACAAACGTTACTGCCTACCTGCAGGCGACCTTTGGAGCCGCACCAGCACTCATTCCCGCAATCGAAGCTGCATACCCAATCGGTAGCAACGGTTTGACCAACGACTACGACGTCATCTCACAGATTGTTACTGAGATCACGTTTCAGTGTCCACAAGCACTATGGGCCAATGCGACAGCATCTATTGGTATCCCCACCTGGCGTTACTACTTCAACGCCTCTTTCGCCAACACACAAGCTTATCCCCAACTCGGTGCCTATCACGCTTCTGAAATCCCTCTCGTGTTCCGCACATACCCCCTGGCTAATACGACGACGCAAGAGTACGCCTTGGCACAGTTCATGCAGAGTACATGGGCCAAGTTTGCGAAGAACCCTTATGCTGGACCTGGATGGAACGCTGTCGGTACGGGTGCTGAGGGTAATGTCTTGGTTGGTGCCTATGACTTTGTGGCAGGTGGAGTATATCAGGACCAGAATGCCACTGCCGTAGAAGGAGACTGGAACTTGGGTGTTCTCGGCGATGTTGGAGGTGTGAGGGGAAGTGGTGTTACTGTGCTGCCGCAGTCTGATCTTGATTACAGATGTAGTCTGTTCAGGCCTATCTTTGAGGCTAATGTGGGTTCGCAAGGTATACCTCCATCTTGAGGTAGAGGGCATAGAAGGTGATTTCCAACACAGTCACATGAAACGCTAAGATCGTAATGTTAAATTATGATTTCATCTAAGCGACTTGTGACGCTGTTACTATACCACCAAGTCCTTCAAACTGTCGTCCGCCAGTAATTTGTCCAATATCCACTCCACTCCGATCCGACTCACCACCCTCATGCATGCTCCTCTCCACACTGTCGATCAAACTCTCGCTTCCGGTTTTGGTACCGACACTGCTACTTCCCTCGTACTCTTGCTTGGTGTTTTGTGTTATATCTTCTCCGCGGCGCTGCTCCGAAGTGTCTGAGGCGTTTTGTTGGCCGGGTGCAGCCTATAACTGTAAGTATCTTCCTGGGTGATACAACCTTTCTATTATGATGCATGGTAGGTATCAGGTGGTATGTCAGGCGAGGAGCTTACCTTGTCCACGGACGCGCTCAAACCAACAGGGTCAGTCGACTGGCCGGTCTTCAATGGAACGCTCGGGTCGCCCTTGAATGTGCCGGCTGTGTCTTCGCCGGGGTTGACGGGGTTCTTGGGTTGGGTGTTTGAAGATTCTTGGCCTGTCAGGGAAGACATGGCGTGTATGCTTCGGTGGAACGAAGTGTGAGAGGTCTCGTTATTTAGCTTTTCGTGTGGTGAGCAATCTGTCTCTGATCAATGCTTTGACACACGGTCGTGAAGTAGTTTTGTAGGATGGCGTAAGCTGGAGTCGATGGTGCAGGTTCGACGTCATAGTGACTCAAGATGGAGACGTGGGTATCTGCAGTGGCGAAGTGGTTGTCGGCTTGAACGCGAGAGATGCGCGTTTGCTTATGCCTTTGACGAAGCAACACTGTCGATTGAGAAGCGTTCCCATTTCTTCATGATCTCACTATCAATTGAACATTCCTCGATCTCATGATATCAAAGTTTTATTCCATGCAGAACGCTCCCTGCGCCGACCGAGTAATGCTACGCAGATTATCCATGTCTATAACTTGCTCTTGCCAATACCCCAAACCTCAGCCTGAGGGTTATTCGACTTCTTGTTTATGGACGCGCCTCCAGCGACAGGCTTCTCGCCCTCCTCGACGAACAGCGATTGCGACTGCTTCATGGTCTCGACGGCTTCGCGCTCGATGCGGTCAAGGAGCTCTTGATTGGTGGGGATGTCGTGGATGAGGCCAATTACTTGGCCAGCAGTCCATACCTAGGTTTGTCAGTCAACCACACTCGAAAAGGGGGATGTAAACTTACACCAAAGTCCGGGTCTCCGTTCAAGAAGACTTGCCGACCTCGCTTTCCACTGACGAACTCAGCGACTTCCTCGAACTTGCCAGTTGGGCTTGTCTTCTCGACCTCAACAGCCTGCAGCGCAACCTTGTTGGCGAAGAGTCGCGATGTGTTCTTCCACCGGCGGAGTACGAGCGCGGTATCTGTCTCTTGCGCGTCGACGATGGCTTGCTTGATGTTGTGGTGAATAGGCGCTTCGATGGTGCACATGAAGCGGGTTCCCATGTTGATGCCACAGGCTCCGAGAGAAAGCGCTGCAGCCAAACCCTGGCCATCGGCGAAACCTCCAGAAGCGATGAAAGGCACACCACCTAATGATTGCCTAGCCCTGCTGAGCAGGATGAAGTTGGTAATGTCCGTCTCGCCAACGTGTCCGGCGCACTCGAAGCCATCGATGGACAGGAAGTCAACGCCAAGCTTCACCGCAGACTGTGCGTGCCTAATAGTAGTGCACTTGTGCAAGATGATGGTGCCAACCTCCTTCAGCTGCTTAATCACCGGCCCTGGGCTGTTTCCCGCTGTCTCGACAATGTTGACCTTCTCCTCGATGATGACGCGGGCGTATGCGGCATAGTCCGGGGGGACCATGGCGGGGAGGAGCGTCAAGTTGACGCCGAAAGGCTTGTTGGTCATCGTTCGGCATCGGCGGATTTCTTTGCGAAGGTCTTCGGGTGTGGGTTGGGTAAGGGCGGTCAACTATGCCATCGTGAGAATATGTTTGATGCGTGATGGGCGCCAGACGTACTATTCCCAGACCTCCTGCGTTGCTAACAGCGGAAGCGAGTTCGGCGTATCCGACCCATTGCATACCACCTTGAACGACGGGCACTACATCTGTCAGCTACCGTCTCGTTTGCTGTGCTGGTGAAGTTACCTCTAATGCCGAGCGCCCTCGTCAGCTCCGTGTTGAAAGGCATCCTGATTGTAGATGGCCCGAAGAAAAGATTTAGAGTTTGTTGTATGAGAGGGAACTGCACAGGAGCCTTGAGCCGAGCAGATATCTGACACTCGGACGCGCGACGTTACGGCCGTCGCGCCGGCTGAAGCGCATGTCATTCGTGTGGGGAAGCCATGTGCCTCGGTAACTCCACAGCCGCGACACCAAACGCAGGTGCCCGACCGTCGGGTGATTAGTTTGCGCTGACTCTATCGCCGAATGATTCGCTGTCACCGAGTCGCTCGTGATGTCTTTGCTCGAATGGCAGCTGTGCCCGAGTGGTGTTCCGGACGCGTCGCAAAAGGGGAAAGCTGAGCCGCAGGGCTGATGCCGTCATCTCCCTGGCATGTTCACATGTGTCTTGGCAATGAACCATCACTCCAACACCACCCCTACGCATCTGAGCGATCAATTTTTAATCATCTCCTAGGACTCATAAAGGCTGGAATCAGTCGCATCGCGAAAGCAAATCTCGCAGTTTCTCGGAAGCTATCCTTAGTCCAGGTGGACTCCGCGTTGGAGCAAAGAACCTAGGAAACAATACTCTGGATTTCAGCTGCCTGGCTGCACTCATAGCACTTTATCAAGGGTCCTTCTCATGGTCTCTGACTTCCCTATCGCGTTATCTATGTCTGCCCAAACCTGGACTTCTGCATGAAGCCACATTGTTTGACTTGCGAAATGGGCAAACACAACAATGTTGCGCTGGATTCTGGACCTCCGCAAAACCCGACTAGAGTGGAAAGACAATCGCTACTCTATGGCATGACCCATTGTGGAATATCTCATCCGTTTTGGGCCAGCATCAACCCGCATCAACGATCAATCATCGAGATTGCACGCTCGTAAGACTGGTTCAGAATAACGGCAGCCCGACGATCCGTTTGTTGCTTACCGACCGTTGTAAAGCCAGCGGGATTAACAAGAGCTTAGTATGCTTCCAGGCCACGTGAGTTTTGGTCCAGACTATGGAGCGTCCTTCGATACCGCGTCTGTCTGGCCTACTGAAACTTCGAACTGCAATCCCTTCCCAGTATGGCCTTACTGTCTACTCTGGCTGGTGTCGTAAGCTTCTTGAGATCGAGCAATCTTTCACGCTCGACATGGCTGGCGATCCTGAAAAAAATGAAATTCACGATGCGCAAGAAACGTGATGGATCACTCACCAACGGACTTCATATTCCTGATTTAGCAATCATCTTTGTCGAGCTTTTGAGGGAGTTTTGTCTCGAACATGCGGAGTGAGGTAAGAGATCTGCATCTAGGCCGACTGTCCAAGACGATACTCAGAAAGCTCATATCATAGGATCCATAGGTACCATGGAATGTCACATTGTAGTCGCATTGGAAGAGCGCTATTTAGTCGATGTATGGTTGGGACAGCGTCACGTATCCATGCGCGTTGACGGGAAGCTCCAACATGTTGTAGTATATACCTAACCCATCGTGATCGTTGTCAAAACCACGCTTGAAATCGAAGTTCTATGACGGGAAGGTACATGCTTAGGCACGCAGGTCCATGCTTGGCAGTGACGTAACGAGCCAATGACATAATTCAACCCCAGCAAGCCCACTAGGTGGACGGTCGTTGCGGGGATTTTGGGAGGCCTACTTTGTTGGGGTCTCCACACACACGTCCGGTATATAGACCGAGATGCCAGGCTCGGCGCGTCCAAGAGGAATCCCGCACCCTGACCCCCATGACCCATCATGTCGTGGTCTCTTCTTCTCGCCATCCTGACCCAGGTCGTCCGTGTTACATGCGCACCAGAGACATATGACTATGTTATAGTTGGAGGAGGCCCCGCAGGTCTTCTAGTCGCGAACCGACTGTCTGCCGATCCCGAAGTCACTGTTGCCATCATCGAAGCCGGAGATTCTGGCTACGATAATCCCAATGTCTCATACGTACCGAAGTCGATCTTGGAGTACGGCCTCTTCATCGGCACGTCGATTGACTGGAAGTACATGACGGCACCTCAGAAGTATGCTGGGAACCGGAGCGTGAACTACTGGGCAGGCAAGGCTTTGGGAGGCAGTACTACGGTCAATGGAATGACGTACATCCGCGCGGAGAAAGAGCAAATTGATGGGTGGGAAGGGCTTGGCAACGAGGGTTGGAACTGGGAGAGTCTACTCGAATACTACCTAAAGCAAGAAGGCTTTAAAGAGCCGAGCGAGGAGCTTTCGAAGGAGGGCGCGACCTTCAGGGACGGCGTACATGGAACAGAGGGAGAGCTTGCTGTTGGCTTCACCCCATACCTGGTCCGTCAAGGCTTCGCCAAATTGTTCGCGGACACCTCCCAGGCGATGGGTATTCCTTACAATAAGGAACCCAACAATGGTAGTATGCGTGGTTTCGACGTGTGGCCTATGACACAGAATGTGAGTGGGCCTACGAGGGCAGATGGAGCCAGGTCCTTCTACTTCCCCGTTGCGTCACGCCCCAATCTCCAGGTCTTCTTCAATACCACTGCTGCACGCATCATCTGGAACGATGAATCATCCGAGACGTCGGAAGTGGTGGCCTCGGGAGTTGAGGTGATCAATGCGGGAAATGTAACGAAGACTATCGGTGCCTCCAAGGAGGTCATTGTCGCAGCCGGCGCCATTCGATCACCAGCATTCCTTGAGCACTCAGGTGTAGGTAATCCCGCCATACTTGAACCTCTCGGTATCAAGGCTATCAACCCACTCCATTCGGTCGGCTCCAACCTGCCAGATCAACCGCAGCATGGGATGGTCTTCAACTCGTCCACGAATTGGACAGGCTATCCTACCTTCGTTACATTCTTGACAGCTTCTGATCTCTTTGGTAAAGAACTTCCCGCTCTTGTCGAAGAGCTCCAAGCCAATGTGAGCGCTTATGCTGCAGCGATTGTCGCAGACTACGCGCCTGATACTATCTCCGTCGAGACTCAGGAACGGCTTCTGCAACACCAAGTAGACCTAGTCTTCACTGCTGAGAGCGATGTTCCCTTAATAGAGATCCTCTGGGCCCCAACAGGAAATCAGATTATTGCGCAGCTTTGGGACCTAATACCGCTTTCTCGAGGCTCAATACACATCGAATCCGCCGATGCAACTATACCACCACGTATCGACCCAAACTTCTTCCAGATGCCCATCGACATGTATGTGCAGGCTGCTGCTGCAATCCGTATCCGCGAGTATTTCGCCACTTCGCCGCTAGCGGAGGACGCTACAGGCGAGGTCTCTCCCGGTTACGAAGCGGTACCGCAAGGTGCTCATTGGAGGGATCAAGTCTGGGACGACTGGATCACAGGCGCCATGAATGGCAACTCGCATCCTGTGAGTACTTGCGCAATGATGAGTAAGGAGCTGGGTGGTGTGGTAGATACGGAGG